CATCAACAGGAGCCTGGACAACCACTGGTAGTATGAACTATGCTCGATATTGGCACACGGCATCTGTATTAACAAGTGGAAAAGTGTTAGTTGATAATGGATATAATCGTACTGGTTATTTAAATAGCTCGGAACTCTACGAACCGTAACTAACAAATAAACAATGAACACTCTTGCTTATGAGACGTATTTTATCAGAAGAATTATTTTAATTTACTAACAACTAAGCTTTTCTTTTTTAATATTTACGAATTTCTTGTATTATCGAATAAATTCATCTTCTAACAATGAAATAGTATATTGTGATAGAAAGTATATTATAGCAAAACAATGTCCGATCGAGAATGGCAATGAACTGAGACTCAATTTATTAGCTGAAAGTGGTTAAGATCAAATAAAATTCTCACAAATATATTGCCATTACATTTTCTTTTTACGTTATGCTCATTCTATTGCTTTGTTTAGAAAATATTGCTATAAAAAAGATGCATTAGTCTTCATATTAAACAAGAAATTCTTCTTCTTTTCTTATAGTATTACATTTTAATTAATGATCAATATTTAAAAAAGAAAAGGTTCAAACGGCACTTGTTTTTCGTAGTTTGGTATTTCCAAAGAAAATACTGATTCTAGTTGTAACTATTAGTGCGTAATATCAGAGTGATAATTCATGGAGATGAAAAACAAATTGAAGAGATTAGCAATCATAACGAATTTCGTCTTAATGGTTAGATAAGTTAGCATAATACTATTAGTATCTCACTTTTACAAAGATTATCAAATGGCTAGCATCAGTACAAGATACTTTTCACTTCTGTTCGTAGATGAATGGACAGTCACTATTAATGCCTATCGTTGAAGGCAAATCAATACAAAATCTACTATGTAAACCGGTAGTATCTCTACTAAACGAATGAATATTGCTATTACAATCATTTAGAGTATGAATGAAAGATGGGTGTGAGTGTGAGCGTGAGTCTCTATCGGCTTTATGATCTCACCCACACCCACATGACTACTTTTAATAATGGCTTTTTATTTTTAGATTTAAACGGAAAGACATTATTTGCGTCTAATACAGAATAGTTTTATACTATGTATAATTCTCACAAAATACTATCAACAGCATTTATTTCATAGGTTTTCATGCAATATGGTTTATTATGAACATAAATTTAGTAGTGCATGCATGTATTGTTGCAAGATTTTTGCTATATTTATTCAACTTCTTCTTTTCTATTATTTAAAATCAATATTCTTCAAATAAAAATCGATAATGCAAACGTTTTGCATGAATTCTGTTTCTAATATAATTTTTCTAAAAATAGTATTTGTCAACCATAAAAATTCTTGAGTTTAAAGGCGTTTAGCATAACTCTTCTAAGAGTATCGTTTTTATTTACTTTTGATGATCTCGATTACTATATATGTATACAATGTTGTGTTGAAATAGTTGTATTGATATACAAAAGAATAAAAAGAAAATGATTTAATAAAGAACTTATTCCACAAGTTATTTAGTTTAATGGCCAAACAAACTTACGCTGGAATATCTTACAGAAAAGATTTCCTCTTGTTCAAATAACATCGTCTGATAGACAATTCAATAAGCTTTCAACTGCTTCTCTCTTGAGAGCAAACTTATTGTTCAACTGGTATCAGTAATGCATGATAATACGTTTATAATTGATCACTTGTGCCATTGTAAATGTGTGAAAATACTATTCTGTGGTTAAATTATAAAACTTGAATTAGTAAATTAGATAAATGATGTACCACATTATCATTTATGAAAAAGTCTTCTAATATCTTTAGCTCTAACAATTTTGTAGTTTGTAAAAACTATGTACAACACAAATTTTTAAATACGTTCGCACTAAATACTTTGTTCTAACAAATTCCTTGCGACCATTTAGCAACAAAACAATGTATGACGAATAGAAGCAACATTCGTTGAATGAATCATATTTCTTTTTCTCTACCATTTAAAAAACAAAGTGTCGCACATGCATTAGCATACTGAAGTAATTGCGCAGATGAAGACAAGAGAAAGTTGGAAAAAATAACTATAAAACGACATCATTTCGTTGGCTTCTAATTTGTTTGTTTTATCGTGAACGTTGTTAAGAAAGTTACTTGCCTTGTTCCGTCTCTTACGCTTCACAACAGTATTTGAAAAAGTAAATAGTTAAAGTTTCTCTTCGAATAATAAAATAAACTACATACATTTTGCATACTAAAAAAAACACAAACACCACGCCGTTGCAATTATAAATAAAAGCAGTGAGTTTTCCTATCATTCAAATAACAACAATTATTGACAAGCTTATATTCAACATCAAATTATAATAAGGACTAAATGGGTGGATTATGTCAAAAACAAAAAAAAACTGTATCACCAAATCCGATCATGAATGACAATAACACGACCATGACATCATCGAATGCTATTCAACCAAGGCGACACATAGTTCAAAATTATTCACTCGTCTGGTTAGATGAGTGTATGGAAGAAACAAACGAAGATTATCAAGATATTTTGACACAATTAAAAACCATTACTGACAATGTCAACGTCTTTAAGCGACGAGATTTATGCATCGACTATCTTACAGATACTCAAGAAGACATCAAGTCTTTTCTTGTTGTCAAGGATACTGTGTGTCAACAAATAATGCCCCTCATTCATGATATTCCTCAGGTGTATGGTATTTATATCTTGAATGATACTAAAATCCTACCTGAAGAATTGACAAAAAAATGGCAAAAAATCAAGAGTGTTCATACCAACATCGATGACTTATGCCAAAAGATACAATTGGGTATTAAACAATACCATCAAGACTCAATTGCTGTGAGCTTTATCTCGGTCGATGACATGATGCCAGCTAATAATTTAAACCAGTTGGAACCCACATTTATGTACACTCAAATATTTAAGGATATTCTTCTTGATATGGAGCATGGTAAACAGGCCATCGCAGAATTTGCTGCGTACTGCCGCAGAAATAATTCCGGATCACCAATCAATATCAATCGTTTTGAAAGTGAATACCATACTCAATCACCTATTAGCTGGTATACTTCTCCCACATTTATTTATTCTATGCTGAATGATGCTCTTCGTTTTATGGAAGGCGGTACCATTATTAGTATGGGTTTTTTTATTCGTGATCTTCACCAACAAATCCTACAACTACACCAACAACAGGTCAATACTTATCATGGCAAATCATTCATAGTTTACCGCGGACAAGGTCTATCCAAAGCAAATTTTGAAAAACTTCAAAAAACAGAAGGTGGTTTAATGTCTTTCAACAACTTTTTATCCACTAGTACAGAACCAGACCTACCTCTCGGATTTGCTTTAAGTGCGTTGGACAATTTAGACACAGTAGGTATTCTTTTCAAGATGTTAATTGATCCTCATGTTACATCAGCACCATTTGCCTCCATCAAAGAGGAAAGTCCTTTCAATAAAGAAGAGGAAAGTTATTCCAATAAAGAAGACGAAATACTCTTCTCAATGCACACCGTCTTTCGAGTGATTGCAATCAAAAAAATGGGCAATGAACTTTATGAAGTTCAATTACAATCGACATCGGATGATGATGAACAACTACGATTACTTACTAATCGGATACGAGAAGAAGCTAGTGGTGGTACTGGATGGCAGAGATTAGGTGGCTTATTGCTTAAAATTGGTCAGTTTAATAAAGCTGAAGAGCTTTATAATGGATTACTCGAACAGACGTCTGATGAGGGTGAAAAGGGGGTTTATTATAATCAGCTTGGAGGTGTTCATTTGAATCAAGGTGATTATGAAAAGGCTATTTGCTATTTCGAACAAGGACTTGAAATCGGTCAAAAAACTCTTTCTTCAAATCATCCTGATTTGGCTAGTTCATACGGCAACATCGGTAGTGTCTATACAAAGATGGGAAAGTACTCGAAAGCACTTTCATTTCACGAAAAAGCACTTGAAATTTGTCAAAAAATTCTTCCTTCAAATTATCATGTACTGACTACTTCATACAACAATATCGCCGGTGTGTATACAAAGATGGGAGAGTACCCGAAAGCACTTTCATTTTATGAAAAAGACCTTGAAATTTGCCAAAAAATTCTTCCTTCAAATCATCCTGATTTGGCTACTTCGTACAACAACATCGCTGATGTGTATTATAACATGGGAGAGCACTCGAAAGCATTTTTGTTTCACAAAAAAACACTTGAAATTCAGCAAAAAAGTCTTCCTCCGAATCATCCTGATTTGGCTGCTTCATACAACAACATTGCCGGTGTGTGTGACAAGATGGGAGAATCCTCGAAAGCACTTCCATTTCACGAAAAAGCACTTGAAATCTTTGAAAAAACTCTTCCTTCAAATCATCCTTCATTGGCCACTTCATACAACAACATCGGTTTGATGTATAGCAACATGGGAGAATATTCGAAAGCACTTTCATCACACGAAAAAGCACTCGCAATTCGAAAAAGAACTCTTTCTTCAAATCATCCCGATTTGGTTATTTCATACAACAACATCGGTATTGCGTATAGAAATATGGAAGAATACTCGAAAGCACTTTCGTTTTATGAAAAAGCACTTGAGATTTGTCAAAAAGCTCTTCCTTCAAATCATCCTTCATTGGCTACTTCATACAACAACATCGCTAGGGTGTATTACAGTATGAAAGACTATTACAAAACACTTTCATATTATGAACGTGCTCTTGACATATTACAACATGCATTACCTCCAACTCATCCTCATATAAAAAGTGTGATGAATAGTATTGAAGTTGTCAAAAAGAAATTATAAAGAGTGATTGATTAATAAAAGAAGGTTTTGCTCACGTATTTTTGAATTAATTTTATTTTTTAGTGACTCGCGCGCGCGTACAAGGAATAACTCTGTGAATAATACAAACGTAATGGACAGAGCCGAGTGATAAGATAATACAGATGCATACGTATACGTATATATCACCTATTCAGACATATTTATGTATCTAAAATTTTACGTGTGTCCTGTAATAGAAAAAAAGAAAAAAAACTATATAGATTGCCTTAAAAACACAATATTTCATAGTCAAAATACTGAAATAATTGATCAAAAATCTTCTAGAATAGAAATCTTATTGATTATAATATTTAGGTGTTATACTAAATAACTATCTATTTATTCAATTAATACAATAAATATTGAGAGTGTGGGTGTTACCTGTAACTGGAATCCACACCCTCAAGATAGCATTGATATACAAAATAAATATTTCTTATTACACAATAGTTTAATTAGAATTACAAGCTAAAAATAATATGCAATTTAAAAAGTTATTTTTCAAAGTTAAATCAATTTCTGATGTCTTCATATAGAAGAAAAAGATCATATTTTTTAGATATTTGCTTAATGGTAAGATATAATTATTTCAACAGCCTACATCTCTAGTCGTCATTTGCGTAATAAACAACAAGATTTCTTCATTTTTCACGATTTATTAATGTAACCTTTATAGAAACATCAAATAATATTTTATATTATAAAAGTAAAGTCTTTTTTTTTCGAATTACTTTCTTACTAGTTAAATTTTCCATTTCTCTCAAAACCTACATAGCTCTTTTACGATGCACTTAATACTTGAACTAATTATATTTTAGCTATGTGATTCAAAGGAACAACATCATTTGATAAATGAAAATAATAAGAAAATGAGGGTATCGGTACAGATACAAGCTCATATTTTGTTTACTCGTGTCCGAAATCTGATAGTTAGATTCTCTTAATGGATTGTCAGGTCTTATTTAACTCTTATAATTTAATACAGCAAACATCGGCATCTATTTATTACAAATGATTAGATGCCACTAGCTGACAATACCATATTAACAAGAATTTTCACATAGTTACTTATATCCAATAAGAGTTTCGATAGCAACGGCTATTCATTCTAAATTATATTTCAAACATGTTTTTTCTTCTTATTGTATAATACGAACTTAGTATATAATATAACATTGATTTGTATTAAATTCATATATAGATTTTAATCATTAAACATTATCATCATGGAACAAGCATTCGCACAAAATTTAATGCAAGCAGCGCAAGCTGTTGAACAACAAGTAATTATATTGGGAATATAAACTCATCTATCATATATATGATTTTAATTTAGGTTGATGATGAACTTAATCGTTTAGAAAAATTAACAGAAAGTGATATTGAAAAAATGCGTAATCAACGACTTGAAACAATGAAACAAGAACATAAAAAACGACAAGAATGGCTTGCTAATGGTAATTGATTAAATGATTTTTAAAATTTTATATGTATTATATAATTATCATTAGGTCATGGTGAATATGAAGATTTACCAAGTGAAAAAGAATTATTTGATATAACAAAAAAAAGTGAACGTATTGTTTGTCATTTTTATCGTGAATCAACAATGCGTTGTAAAATCGTTGATAAACATTTAGAAGCTTTAGCACGAAAACATATTGAAGCAAAATTTGTTAAATTAAGTGTTGATCGTGCACCATTCATCACCGAACGTTTAAATATAAAAACATTACCAACTATTGCTTTATTAATTGATAATATTGTTAAAGATAAAATAATTGGTTTTACAGATTTAGGAAATCATGATGATTTTTCTACTGATGTTCTCGAATGGCGTTTAGGTGTAGGTGGTGTTATTGATTATAAAGGTGATTTAAGTTCACCACCTGATAATAATGAAAGGAAAAAAAAGATAACTGTATTTGGAAAAAAACCTAAAACTATACGAAACGGAATGGGTGGTGATGATGATGATGACGATAATGATGCTGAAGATTAAATCAACATTGATTTTTAGTTTGTTATTTCATTTTAAATCATGTTTTTGTTATACGTATACGTGCATGTGTGTTCTTGTTTCTTTTTCTGTAGTATACAAATAAAATAATATCAATGAATGGTTTATATACTGTCGATATGTGTGATAAATTGTTGATTGGAAAGACGAAGGTTCCTTTGGTTATGTAAATTTAGATTCTTCTAGTTCATACGATATGAAGAATTAATCGACAGATGTAATAATTGACAAGTAAACCTAATAATCCAATCAATCATAGAATACTTGAATGTTTGACGACTATATTTTGATTTCTTCTTCATATATTAATTTTATTATTAATGTAATCTGTCATAACAGATATTTTTTTTTCATTTTACCAACTATTTCTATATCAGACATATCAGAATCAATGAACAAGAGTAAGTCTTCATCAGAAATTGATTATCAATATCAAAATCAAAGAATAAATTTTACAACGACTACATATTATACTCGTTCTCTGGAACAATTATCGTCAGTGTCGACTCTCGAAGATTATAAAGTTACTGTTATTCTTAGTATATCACTTTTCATATTTTTATTATCAATTCTAAGTATTCTTCTTATATTAAAACATGTACAAAAAGAAAATACAAAAATACAACGAACACGAGCTATTATCAGAAGACGTTGTACACCAAAACCAAGTAGTTCTGATGATCCAGATGGTACATTACTCGAACAAAATAATAAAATTCGTATTGTCTCAAATCCTTTTTTAAGTAAATTATATTCAAGCAACCCACTTCTCGCACAAAAAAATGAAACAAATAATAGTTATGAATTAAAAGATCTCAATTTAAACAATATGCCACTTCGTCGCGTAGAATTACTTGATCATAAATTATCCCGACAGACTACTATTCATGTTCTTGATGAATAATCTGTCAGATGATATACAAAGAAAGTTGCTTATACCTAAAATATTTTATCTACTTAATGCTTTAATAGTATTTATAGTTTGCTTAATTAATTATTTTTTATGTAACTTCGCTTTTCTTTTTCGTTATTTATTACTGTTTAATTTTCCTAAAAATATATTCTAGAAAAATAAAATTCTTAATTATCATTGTTCGAGAATACTAATATCAATTGTTGATTGTTCATCCATCTTTTCATTCCATTGATAATTCATTTGTTTAAGTCTTGCTCTAATATAATCGATAACAACAATATTATCATATGAAAATGATTTTGGCCACCATCCTTGTAAATAACTAACATGTCCACCTTCTAAAGTTTTAATTGCAATAATATATGGATTTTGTAAAACATCTTCAACCGGTAAACCATCAATAGGACAT